AGGGTGAAATGCGGGAACTCAACGTCTGTCGCTGCGGTAGCGCTGAGCGCGGGGCCCATCAATGATGCATCACCTGCGTGCCGCGTACGCGATGCAGCGTTTGTCACGCGTCGCCGGAGAAGAGCCTACGGTGGGTGCTTGCTCGCAAAGGATCTCTTCTGCCATGCGCTCGCTCTCGATCATCGAGGGCTGATTATTCTGAAGCAGCCGAGTGTGGTTTTTATTGTTGTCGAAATCGAAAATACCCGGTCCCGTGTGCCTCTCCCGTTGATGTTCGTGAAGAGAGGGCTCTTTGAGAGAGTTCTAGGGAAGACTTTTGTAACACTCGTTGGTTCTTTCGGTAAAGTCACGTAGAAAATAAAATTATAATAGAATACGACGTTTCGGTTGCAACACAAGCAACCATCATTAGGTAATAATGAATGATAAAACAGAGACACGTGAACATCATCGACAGACACGCATGCAGAGAGAGAGACACACACAAAGACACGCCGAGCAAGACAAACAGTTTTGTAATACACAAACGCATTTTACTGGTAGGAACCTCCTGGTTACACCAGCCCAAAGGGGATTATTGTGTCCGTCCGTACCGTCGTGCAGGGAGGGGCTGGGTGGGGAGGGAGGGACTGGGTGGGGAGGGGAGGGTGGGGAGGGGCTGGGTGGGGAGGGGCTGGTCACCCCGTGGTGCCCTTAGAAAACTCAACGTTTAACCTACTCACGCCGGCTTGTGCCCGCCATCACAGTCGGGCATATTTGCGGAATACACCACGCCGCCGTTGACCCTGGCCATTGACCGAGCAACCCAACGTTTCTACCAGCTCCCTCCGCAGGAATGTGTTAGTTTAACGTTGATTATGAGGAATGTGTTACTCTGCTGCGGCGAATCACATACAACAGACACCATGAGCAGAATTCCACCCTGTTTCCAAACGTGGACGAGAACAGCTTACGATCCAGCAACCTATCGGCTCTCCAGACCAGTTTCAGTGGAGTGCCCTTGCAAAATTGGGTTCTGGTTCTCTCCTTACATTATGGCAGCATTATTTTCAAGAGCTAAATGTTGATGTCGCGATCAGCGAGCCACCAGAGGGATTTTGATGGACTCGAGGGTGTTGTAGTCTTTGTGTGGAGTAAGGGCGGAGTTATGCGTCTGTTTGCTTTGAGGAATGTGATGTCACTTGACCATCTTTCGCACCGTACGTAGGCAACCGTGGTAACCGCAGGTGCGGGGGGAGGACACCAAACTAAACAGAAAACGCAGTTCTGAAGGAATTCGTTTTCAATCGAGATAATTTAAAAGTGCATAGCTTCCAGTGGCTTCCTCGTATCAGAAGGGAGAGCGTTCCAGACGGCCGCAGAAGCGCATCCGAAAGCGCGCGATGCAGTGGGACGTAGGTTCCAACTGAACGATATGTTTGAGTGGGGCCCCTGCGAGTATAGTTGCCCTTCTCTGTATTCTATACCCCCCCTCCCCACCCGTTTTACCACCACCACCACCACCAAATGTGCCATAATAATCCAGAGTTATTCACATTGGTTGTTCAAGTTCTAGTTTTCTTCTCTTCAAATGCGAAAGTAGACGAACGGTGAAGCTGAATCACGAGCCAAGAATCAACGCCATTTTAATGTTCGCCGTGCACGTCCGGTCGTAACACGCAGCGCGTTGCTGCTGGTTTCAATGGCCACAATACCCGTTCATGTTTTGCATTTCAACCGTGGACACTTCAAACTCCAGAGCCCATAGCCCCTGAAGGCTGTGCGCGTGAATCCGGGCACGTTTCAACAGCTCTGCACGTCTGCACAGGCAGGTCGTGGCCGTGGGCCACGCGTGCCTCGGCGCTTTGTTCTCAGCCGCTCTCGTCTTTCAGCTCCTGAAATAAAATGCGTTGTTTTTTTGTAGTTCTTTCTGGGCGCTGTTGCTGCTGGGAGCATCTTGACGTGTTCTCGGCAGACAATGACTACCAAGGTGTTTGCTCAGAGGAAGAAGGGTGACCGCAAAATGATCCACACGTCGCTGCCAACAGCGCTGCTCGACGCGCAGATGCGTTCGTGATATTTCAACACTGGCGCTGATGCAATAGCAGTTCATTGCTGCATGGATTTGAAATTACCTTTCGGCCTCAGCAAGAGTTGTAAATGAGGGATCAGGGATGTGAAAGAATGAAAAGCGATGATCGTCATCAGTCGCGATATATTCACTGCTGGATGAAGCCTTACCCAAGCCGTTAGTAGCCATCCCTCATGGGCACGTGATTTTAACAATCCGTCTAGTGCCTGCACACGCGCTGATTTCATCATCCCCCGATCTCTCCTCTGGCGACAATTCCATAATTTAGTCTCCACGGTCAGTCATCATCCTCTCTCACCACGTGTCCTGCCCAAGCACACTTACTCTCCTTTACAGCCATTAGTGCGTCTTCTCTAACTGGTAGCAGTGGCGGCTCCTGCAAAATCTCTCGGGGGGGCAAATGTCTGGATGATTGATAAGGATAAGGTC